CCCCCCACTCAGGGATCGATACCCATCATCTCCTCTCTCTCTATTGGCATCTCTCCTCAGACTAAAACGAGTCCTGTTCACAGACTCTTTAAAGTCCTGCTCTCAGGATTTCTGGTTCACGATCTTTGACCCTAAACCAACCAATCATCAGAGTTACAAACGCTACAACCAGTTAAATCTAAACTGACAACACCTCAGGTTAAAACACCCCTAACACACCTCACAGAACATCTGGAACCATCAGATGATCTTTGGTCTGAGGGGGAGTCAGGGGCCCAACATGAGACTTTTTCTATGTTCTTATTTTTGTCTTATTAGTGACTTTTGATCACTTAAGATAAATATTAAAACATATACTTTCTTTCTCGGGAAGGTTTCAGAACATCTAACATTACTCATCAGGACTTTTCACAAGAACATATTATTACAATTCCCCTTTTGAACAGAGTCCACACATGCTAACTTTGCTAAGCTAACATTGACAGGAGGTTTAAAAATGCAGGATCAGCACTTTTTTTAGCTGTACACTTTCTGATACCGGACCTTCAGACGGATTTCTCGTTTTGTTTTCACGTTGATCCACAGAAAAACTACGTTTGAATTGTATGTGACTCGTGTTTACTGCTGAGTAACAGCTGCTCGCGTGCTGCCACAACAAACTGAACGAAAGAAACGAGGAAAATGGTTCAAGCATCCGATTGGTTGCTGCATGTTCAGCCCTTTCACACGTCCCTCACAGCGGGGATCTTCCTTTCAGACGAGGGAGGGAGGGGGGACTCTCGGGGCGGGACATGTCGTTAAAGGAAGTCACAGTGTCATCGGTTTACAACATTGCTAAGATGGCGGACAAAGAAACAGACACTCCGAGGACAGTTGTTGCATAGACACAATTGGACGTATTTACAGTATTCTTCTTCTTCTTCTGTCTCTTTGTTGTTTGTGTTGCTAATAGAAAGCGGCTCTCTGATATTTGAAAGGTGAACACGTCACATTTCATCAGACTGATGAGGAGGTGTGGAGGTTTATTAACACAGGTGATTAAGTGAGACGAGGGGACGAAAAGATGGAGAGATGTTTCAATGAACAGAAAATGAAAATCAGGTGAAATAATGATGTGAAAAAAGACAAAGAAGAAAGATGTAAGGAGGGATGTTATTAAAAAAAGATGGAGGATAAGCTTTTAAGAATGATGGAGAGGATGGAAAAATGAGGGATGACAAACGAGGACTGATGGAAGGATGGGAGACGGAAAGGGAGGTAAATAAAAGAGGTTAAAAAAGAACGACAGAGGAAGATGGATGGATGAAAAGAAGGATGGAGGAATGTGAGTGTCAAAGAAGAAAAAGGGATGATGGAGGTGTGGAATACGTTTAAAGATCAGGGTAACAGACAGGTGGGTGTAGAGGATGATGGAGGGATGAAGATGATGGATGGATGAAAAGAGAGACGGAGGGATGGATGATGGGAGGGAAGTTGACGGATGTAAAGATGGAGGGAATTCCCTGTTGCGTGTGGCAACAGCCAATCAGGTTCGCGGACACTCTGGCACTACACACACCTTCATTTTCATTACGTAATATCACATCCCCTACGTGTGTGTGTGACAGAGAGAGAGAGAGAGAGAGAGAGAGAGAGAGAGAGAGAGACCGTGCTACATCCACACATCGCGTTCATATCAGGAGGAGAATATCCTGAACACAGACGGTGTTGTTATTGTTTTAAAAACGGTTTTTAACACCGAGAAATTCACTTTTTAAAGAACCAACGGCTGTAAAAATCGACTAGCTTCTGGGATTCGAATGTTCGTTCATTCGAATGAACGAACATTCGAATTCGAATGCACGAACATTCGAATTCGAATGCACGAACATTCGAATTCGGGTCATTAAAAGGGACAAAAAGCTTGAATTTCGTGCGATTTTCAAACCAATTCACGATTGTGTTGCTTCCCACTGAGCTTTTAGGTGGTTAGCGGTCTCCTTCACATTCATTCAGCTGTGTTCACGTCTCGTTTGTTCCACTATCAACAACATAACGGTGTCCTGACACAATCCAGAGCAGAAAGATCAAAAGGACGTGTCGGTTTCCTCTTACCTGGGTGGCTTTATGGAACTGTTTCTTCAACCCCGCGACGGACATCACTTCGGTTGGGATGAGGGAAATGAACTATACACTATATTTATGTTTTTAAAAATTATATTAATAATAATATTAATAAAGTAGGCTGCTGTAGGTAAATAAGACCGAGCCAGACCCACAAAAAAATTGCGGTAAATCCTCCGGTAAGCGGTCACCAGACGTCGGTACTGTCCGTTTATTTTGGTGTTTTGGTGAAACTGGTGGTGGGATCGGAAGGCGATGATTGCCAGACCAAACCCAGCTGGATCTATTTTCAGGCAGAGAGAGAGAGAGAGAGAGAGAGAGAGAGAGAGAGAGAGAGAGAGAGAGAGAGCGACAGAGATCGTCTAATGGTAAGATGCGATACTCTTAAGGCTCTCTTTTCTCCCTACAGTAAGTTCAGTTAATATGTGTATAATAATGAGATATCTGTGCAATGCCAAGATTCATGTGACCCGAGACAAACACATCCAGACATCGTGATGCTGAAACAGTTTCATAATCTCAACCTAAAGTACGTTTTCTCTGTTGTTCAACACAGCATCTTCATCTGTCCAACAACAGAGACGATCTTTGACACGGAGGCAGCGTCACGTTTCCTTTGACGTTACCGCCCCGCCCCCTCCCGCCTTACTACGCCCCCGGGGCACGAGACGTTCGGCTCTGCTCTCGTGCCAATTTTCGGCGAATAATAAAATCAGAATTAATCATTTGCTCACGTGATAAAATGTGACGGCACGAGACGATCAACTTTTAATCTGAAGGAGGGAAAAGAGAAGGAAAGGCGTTCAGGGGGTTTCCGGGTTTCAGCACCACGGACAGCTCTACGGGGGAGAGGGTAATGGTGCATTCAAGTACTGCTGGGAAATATAGTCAGAAGTCCATTTACCATTTAGTGTTAATCACAATTTGATAACCTGTAATAAAAATAAACTTTGTATTCCTCATGTTAAACAAATATAAAACACTTTATTTGTGTTTGTGCACAAAATGACAAACAAAACAAAGAAATTTAATCTTACAGACAAACATAAAGGTATAATGTTTAAGATCTGTTTCGTCGTCTATACCACCTCCATGACGACGCGATGGCTCCGGTCCTCTGAAACATCCTGAGCAGCTGCGATGTGAGGACATAAAAAGCAAGAATGAGGACAGATAGAAGACAAGTGGCTTCCCCATGATATCTGACGAGTGTTGTTGGTTCTTACCGCTTCTCTTGTCTCTGTATACGAGTGCCAGGATGACCGTGGACAGCAGGTAAGGAAACCCCGCCACTGCGTGACGAATAACTCTGAGGGCGGGAAACACAGGAGCTGCTGCCGGCTCTGACACTGGAGGGAGAGTGTTAAAAACTCTAAATCAATCAAATGTTCTAATGCATGATGTGTTCTCATGATGCGATGATCTCACCTGTGACGGAAAGCCAGCTGCCTGGTGATTGGCTGACTCCGGGGATGCTGCACATGTAGAGTCCTTCATCGGACTTGGACACACCGTGGATGGTCAGAGTTTCTGTGATGTTGCTCCAAACGAGGAGGCCGTCTTTACTGAATTTTTTTAGTCCAGAGGAAGGCGTCTTCTCTCGACAGCGCAGAGTCACGTTGTCCCCCTCCCCCACGGGATGGACCGGACTCTCCAGGATCACATCACCAGCTGAGACACACACAAGCCAGTGTTTACAGAACTACACTTGTGTTCACACCTCAAAGCCAAACTAAAGTATTTCCTGTCAGATATTAATCTGAAGTCATTACAAAGACATGCAATTGAAAACTGCACTGTTACGGTTTTAGCAGAGGCCAATAGAAATGGTCATGACGTGCATTTTAAAAGACAAGTGCTTGTTGATTTGCAAAAAGACTGGACAAAGTACCAAAAGAAGTAGTAGGAAGGTTTGTGCCTGATGGGTGACTTGTTAGACACAGAGATATTATTTTTCAGCCTTGTCTTTTGTTAACATGACTCAGCAACAAGAAGTCAAAGTGTTTGCCTTGCTAATTAGCATTAGCATTAGCATTGACTACAAGATACAACTCATGTAAGAGGGAGTAAACCAGTGACTAACAAACACTGTTTATGCTTTTATGTTTGATTTGTTCGGTTACAAAAGGGTTGGAAATGACGTCCCTTTGTTTGTTAACCAACCTGATAACTTGGTAACAGTTCATACCTGAGACTATGATGTGTAAAGTTTGGCTCCTCTCTCCTGAGTCAGACTCACACCAGTAGAGTCCGCTATCGAAGGGGTACATGGTACGGATGCTGCAGGTCGAGTTCTCCAGAGTTCCCCAACCACTCGGGCAGGACTCAACTCCTCCTCTGGTGGTGTTCCTCTTCAGCAGAGCGGCGCCGGGCGAGCCCTTGCAGCTCAGAGAGACGTCCTCATACTGAAAGAACTGAGATCTGTCGGGAGTCGTTTGTAGATGGAAGACTGGAAGACAAAACTCAATCTGAGCCCCAGTGTGGAAAGTGGGGTTGGCCCTTAGGCTTACAAGAGTTATAAGAAACCAAACGACTGCGACTGCCTTGTACGGTGTCGGCAGCTTGTTGCATGTTACACCATTCTACCCACAATATCCTGCTGCCTGCTTTCTCATGAGCAAAAGAGAAAAAAAACGGTACCAAAATACAAAAAAATATCAAATGTGTCCCCAACAAAATCTCAATTATTCCCCACATCCAACTGAAGTTGTACATATGTTAGCATCACAGCAGGAGGAGTTTTTGTCAGTTTATATTTGCTTTTGTCTCAAAGATTGGATAGAAACCTGCACTTAAACATAGAGAGCTCATTACCTTTGGCTTCCATATCACATGAAACGGTTACAAGAAACACACCTGGAAAACCAAAAAAGAAGACGAGTCAAGACGTGGCTCCACATGTGTCATATTTCTTGATTGACACTAAAGACACTGTTACTCACAGAAGTTGAGAAATAACACAGTGGGCTTCATCGTCTTTCGCTGCAGGCTGGCAGCTGGTCGACTTCGACATAAGTGGCTCAGCACTTCCTCCCTGAAACCAAACCTGAGTGAGACGCACGCCACACACTTCTGTTTCTAGGTCATTGTCTGTGAATTCTTAAAGTTGCAGAGGGACTCTGCAGATCCAGTGGAGTTTGGAAGTTCATTCCACCACCGGGGGGCAACAGTGGAGAAGAGTCTAGTCAGAGACTTAGTACCCTGTTGTGAAGGTTGGATCAGACGCCTTTCATTGGCAGAGCGTGGCCCTAACCCTAACCTCCCGGCAGGTGGTCGACCATCCTGATATGTGAAGTAGGTCTCTCAGTGACTGCTTTAAAACAGCAGCCCCTGGAGGCCCAGGCATTTCCGGGCATAAAGTTTTCAATCATAGCAGTTATTTAAAAAAAATGAGAGCAGTGCACTCTGTCAGCAGGCATCTAAAAAGAGCATTTGAACCTGACAAACCGGAATATGCATGATCAGCTAATTAGTTTGTAAATCTTCAGTGCAACATAGCAACAAGGACAAAAATGTCTGACTGTTGGCACAGAGAAAAACTTGCCCTGGTTGACCCAGCATTAACAACAGAAAGAGGTTGGATCAGGTTGAGCTGGTTGATAGGCTAAAGGGAGAGGAATTCAAGAAATGCAAATAAGTCATGCCCAGGAATCCAAATACTCTACACACGCTACAACCACATAGGAAGTACTCCAAAGGTGACAATGTGCAGCCAAGTATCAGTCAATAAACTCCTCACAAACTATTCACTTCCCCGCTGTCTATTCTTGTGCTCTCTTTTTTTTGCCAAGTGTCGTACAGACCCCTGAAAATGTCCCCAAGAAACCCCGCAACCACAGCAGAACAACAATGTCCCAGTCACTGTGCATCAACGCCCGAGTTTCCCAGTGACAGTAAGGTTGTTGAAGCGTTAGTTAAGTGTTTCTATTTTGTTTCACTGCAATGAAACCATTCATGTGGTCAAACGAGTATGACATTAGACAAGTACCGAACATGTGCATTAGAGATTAAGATGGCGTTACAAGCACATTCAAGACAATCCAACACATTCAAAAGAGAATTGAATGCCGAATCCATCCGAGTCTTCTTCACCAGGGTATGTTGGAAAGAAAAAGTTCAAAGCTGCAGAATGGGACTCGGACAAAAAAAACTGCAAAACGGTCCACTAATCTGTCTGTAGGCTTGTGCCACTCTGCTAAGCCCCTCCTACTGAATGACGCGACATAACGTACGTTTTCCTTTGCAAGAAGCCAAACGTCAAGGTCATCAACCGCTGCAGCTTTATAGGAAATGCTTTGCGATGTAACCTGGCAAAGAGGAAGGGAGGAACCGGAATACATAGAAACCGGAAGACCACCCTTGTTTAAGGACTCGCTGTGATTGGCTACCTACGAGTTAGCTAACCCGGATTGGTTGTTTGTAAACAAGCAAATAGCCGGAATACTGCTCAGACCACACCTTCATCTGTCTATGCTTGTAATGCTGACACGCAGGTTTCACATTCTCTAGATTCCTTAAAGTCAGAGAGACGACGTACTTGAAGTGTATTCACAGATGAAGACGAGAGGTTGAGGTGAAGGTGAATTCTTACCTTACTTGCGTAGTCTTGGCCCCCACACAGCCCTTAAGTAGGATGACCTTGAGAGGCCGCCGCGGCGTGGCTGAACTATTGTTCTTGCAGAGCTTGCTTCTGACTATCAAAGGTAAGAACGACTGATTACATCTTCAAGAGAATCTGTCAGTGCAGTGTGTCGAGTTCATCAGACAGGTTGGTTGGGACTTAGTTATATCTTCATTGGATGGGTAGGGTTGGGGCATTGTAGGAATTGGTCTTGCAAAGTTTAAAGGGATACTTCACTCGTTGAAACATGAATCTGTGTTGACTTTGGGTCATATATGTAGAAATGTGAAATAAATTTTGAAGTTGGTGCCTTCTTGGCCAAGAAAAGGCAGAAAGTGTCTTTTTGGCTCATGTGGATGAAAGACAACAACTCCCAGAATGCACAGCACTGCAGGCCACTCCCACTAAGGTCAGGTTTACAGACATATTTACTTCAACACATAAGGCCGTTTCCTCAACTGATTCCAAGATTTCTTCCAGAAGGAATTGGTATCTCGAAATCCCTGGCAAAAAACAGACTCCAGCAGCCAGCAGCCAAGACACAAGACCGGCCTGTCAGCAGCAGCCGTCTCGCCGCTATATTTATATTTTTTCGCCATTATCAGCTTTCTCCATAGAGCCTGTTAGCATAGCTTCCAAGCAATATGGCGGACGTTAAGTTTCGATTCTGGGAGTGAGTTCCCACCCACTGATCTGTGATTGGTCTGTAGCTTCAGTGGTCAAATATGAGGAACTAGCATTGTAGTTTCACCCCGCTAACCACAACAGCTTCCCGTGATGCAAAAATTGTCATTTTTGCGTCACTGGAAGCTCCTTTTCAGACTCAGAAATACAAAGATTTCCCGTCTCAGGGGAAAATGAGGGCGGGATGCACGGCCATTCAAAAATACTACCAGGTTTCTAATGATACAAAGATTTATGCAAATGGGTGAAGTATCCCTTTAAGCGATGTTAAACAGTGGATGGCATGTTGAGCATTTCTACATCTGATTGGATAAATATTTCAGGAAAGTGCACCACTCAATCATTGGGATTCACTTTTAAAGCAGCTGCTTGTTCATGTGCCCTTCTCTAGGTGAACTTCGGTTGACGGGACAACCAGAGCCAGTGGTCGGCTTAGTTGGACAACAATGTGTCCTTTCATGTCGCCTGCAGCCAGCAGAAAGCGTTGCTGATAAGTCGGTGGAGTGGACACGAGCAGACCTGGATCCCACTTACGTTCTTATTTACCGTCAAAGGCGTTTGGAGCCTAAGGAGGTAAATCCATCCTTCAAGGAAAGGACAGAGTTGTTTGAACAGGGACCTGAGAAAGGCGACATGTCCTTGAAGCTGAATTACCCTAAACTGTCTGACACTGGGACATACACATGTAAACTGGTTATGGATGTGAGCTCCCAATTTTCTCTTGAAGTCCCTGTTGGTAAGCTTGACTGCATGAGCTTTTCAATTTCTTTGCTCAGAGATGCTCAACTTAACGAACACTTTAAATACGACATGTTTTGATGGTTCAGTTGTTTTCCTTAGTCATAGGTGCCGTTTCTGAGCCACAGATCACTCTCGAGAGATCTTTGGACAAACTCGTTTTTAAGTGTGAAGTGAGAAACTGGTACCCAAAGCCTGAGATGGAGTGGAGGGACAGCAAAGAGCAAATCGTCCCTCATGAAGACATCAGTCCAGTCCAGGATGATGAATACTTCTCCATCGTGAGCAGGATTACAGTGGAGATGTGGGCAAGTGATAATTACACGTGTACAGTTCGACAACTGGGCATTAGAGAAACGAGGAAAACAAATTTTACAGTTCCAGGCAAGTCTGCTTTAGTTAAATTCACAATGATTATTGCTGAATCTCTATCAATTGCACTTAAAGGTCCAATGTATATTCAATGATATATAATGAATTAAATCACAAGATGACCTTACTATATGATCAGACATTAAGAAAACATGTTATGTTGAAGTGCTGGCTTCTCTGACACAATGCAGCAGCCAGTATGTCCTCCTTCTAACTTTAGGATCTGGATTTGTTTGTCTTAAAGGGATACTTCACTCATTTGCATTAAGCTTTGTATCATTAGAAACCTGATAGTATTTTTAAATGGTTGTGCATCCCGCCCTCATTTTCCTCTGAGATGGGAAATCTTTGTATTTCTGAGTCTGAAAAGGAGCTTCCAGTGACGCAAAAATCATCATTTTGCGTCACTGGAAGCTGTTGCGGTTAGCGTGGTGAAACTACAACGCTAGTATCTCATATTTTCGACCACTGAAGCTAAAGACCAATCACAGATCAGTGGGTGGGAACTCACTCCCAGAATCGAAACTTAACATCTGCCATATTGCTTGGAAGCTATGCTAACAGGCTCTATGGTTGATCTATGAAAGTTGGTAATGGAGAAAAAATATAAATATAGCGGCGAGACAGCTGCTGCCTCCGCTGGCCACTGGGGCCGCCGCTGGAGTCTGTTTTCTGCCAGGAATTTCCAAGATACCAATTCCTTTTGGAAGAAATCTCTGAATCAGTTGAGGAAACGACCTTATGTGTTGAAGTAAATATGTCTGTAAACCTGACCTTAGTGGGAGTGGCCTGCGGTGCTGTGCATTCTGGAATTTGGTGTCTTTCATCCACATGAGCCAAAAAGACACTTTCTGCCTTTTCTCGGCCAAGAAGGCACCAACTTCAGAATGTATTTCACATTTCTACATACATGACCCAATGTCAATACAGATTCATGTTTCAGCAGGTGAAGTATCCCTTTAAGTATCCCTTTAAGTTAAAAGTTTTCTTGCAACTGTATTGACAAGTGATTTTGTATTTCCATCCTCTAACCAGTTTTGCTTTTTCAGAAATCTACAAGAAATATGTTTCCCTGGAAATACATTTGACTAATATTGTTGCGGTATCATCAGTAGTGGTCGTGCTGCTCCTTGTTGTATTTGTTTATTGGGGTAAGTTATTAAGCTTCTGAATATGATAAATGTCACCACATTTGTTTTAAAGTTGTCATTGAGTCATTCATTCATACTGCATTTCTTTTCATCACCAGCTTGGAGGAAAAGGGGTCGGAGAACAGGTAATTCATATTTTCCTCGTTGCTACTGTAGTAGAAGTGTTTCCCAGAGGGGTATTGCTATACTTGTAAATTGAACCTTCAGACGTTTAAACTCCACATGATAGGATCATTGTAAAAACAAAGTGGATGTAGCCTCATGTAGAAACTGGAAGACCACCCTGGTTTAAGGACTCGCTGTAATTGGCTACCTACGAGCTAGCTAACCCAGATTGGTTGTTTGATTGATCGTCTTGGGAACAAGCAAATAGCCCGAATACTGCTCAGACCACACCTTCATCTGTCTATGCCTGTAATGCTGACACGCAGGTTTCACAATCACTAGATCACTTATAGTCAGAGAGACGACGTACTTGAAGTGTATTCACAGAAGAAGACGAGAGATTAGGGTGAAGGTGAATTCTTACCTTACTTACGTAGTCTTGACCCCACACGGCCCAGACGCAGGATGACCTTGAGAGGACGCCGCCTTGTGGCTGAACTTTTGTTCTTGCAGAGTTTGCAAACAACCACACCACCCACACTGGATCGTCATCTGAAATGACGGGGAGATATCCGTGGTGGTCATCAAGGTTTATGTTTGGTTTGCAACAGAAATGAAGCCTAAGGCCGTGTTCACACTTGACTTCTTTTTTTCAACTGCCAGCACCTTTTTTACATACAAGCCTATGGAAAATGGAAAAAGTATGACGCCTTTTCAAAAAGCGCTGCGCCCGACGCCTTTTTCAGTTGAATTATTCAAACTTTTCAGAAAAGCGCTGGGTGAGTAGTAACCTACGTCCCTAGTTACCGGTGCCCAAAAACGGCAAACTTCCACCATGTGTGCATTGCGTGTCCGCTCCGGTCTGTTATGGGTCAGTGCATCCTCATCTGTCAGAACCCACCGGCTGCGATCTCAGTCTGCAGCATGGAGAGCACAGCCGGACAGCTGGAGTACGGAGACAAAGGACACTCGCGAAAAAACGAGATAATACGATGTTCGTGGTATAAAACTCAATAAAAACCTTATAAACACATAAACTAACACATAAACAGTGTTTTTTCTGAACCAAAACGGAGAGTTTTATTCTGAAAATAAACCGGATGTTTTAATGTTGTATCGGTGTCTGACTTCCCGTCCCGCTTGTTCTTTTCTGTGCTAAATTGATGCGTTGTGCTCCGGCGCGGTTGCACCGCAGGCTAGACCCCGTCGTTAAGGTTACAGAACACTCTGAAAGCAGTGCTTTTTTCTGAAAAAAGAAGTCAAGTGTAAGAGCGATCTATGGTTGACTGATAGTAGATATTCTTTTTGGGAAGTATTGAAGTTACTCTAAGTGATGCCTCACATCTTAGAAAGTAAAGATATGAACGTTTTTGCTTTCACAGATGTGACTGACGGAGCTGGTATGCCACTCAGGGAGAGTCAACAGAGTGAAATCACTCGTCTTGGTCAACAAGTGGAACTTAAGGAGAGTGAAATCACTCGTCTTGGTCAACAAGTGGAACTTAAGGAGAGTGAAATCACTCGTCTTGGTCAACAAGTGGAACTTAAGGAGAGTGAAATCACTCGTCTTGGTCAACAAGTGGAACTTAAGGAGAGTGAAATCACTCGTCTTCGTCAACAAGTGGAACCTCTGCGGCATGAAAGTTGTAGCAAAGTTTCAGCTGACTCTGAGGCCTGAAGGTCTCCACAGGTGACGAGTGAGTGCAGAGATGCTTTCTCAAGTGCAGAAAGGCTCGCCTCCATTCAGTTTAATTGATGAAGAAGAGGATTCTTTTGCTTCTAGCTCTATGAGTGACAATTGAGGTAAATGGTCAACCAGCATTTGGCTTGAAAGTACAAAATAAATAAACAAACTGCAGTTCCTCCAGTGTCCACTAGAGTCTGTCTCCTGCAGTGAGTCAGTCCTCATAGAGCCCCATGTTAAAATGTCCAACTTTACAGCTGCAGTTCCTCCAGTGTCCACTAGAGTCTGTTTCCTGCAGTGAGTCAGTCCTCATAGAGCTCTATGTTAAAATGTCTAACTTTACAGCTGCAGTTCCTCCAGAGTCCACTAGAGTCTCTCTCCTGCAGTGGGTCAGTCCCCATATAGCCCCATGTTAAAATGTCCAACTTTACAGCTGCAGTTCCTCCAGTGTCCACTAGAGTCTGTCTCCTGCAGTGGGTCAGTCCTCATAGAGCTCCATGTTAAAATGTCCAACTTTACAGCTGCAGTTCCTCCAGTGTCCACTAGAGTCTGTCTCCTGCAGTGGGTCAGTCCCCATAGAGCCCCATGTTAAAATGTCTAACTTTACAGCTGCAGTTCCTCCAGTGTCCACTAGAGTCTGTCTCCTGCAGTGGGTCAGTCCCCATAGAGCTCCATGTTAAAATGTCTAACTTTACAGCTGCAGTTCCTCCAGTGTCCACTAGAGTCTGTCTCCTGCAGTGGGTCAGTCCCCATAGAGCTCCATGTTAAAATGTCTAACTTTACAGCTGCAGTTCCTCCAGTGTCCAGTAGAGTCTGTCTCCTGCAGTGGGTCAGTCCCCATAGAGCTCCATGTTAAAATGTCTAACTTTACAGCTGCAGTTCCTCCAGTGTCCACTAGAGTCTGTCTCCTGCAGTGGGTCAGTCCCCATAGAGCTCCATGTTAAAATGTCTAACTTTACAGCTGCAGTTCCTCCAGTGTCCACTAGAGTCTGTCTCCTGCAGTGAGTCAGTCCCCATAGAGTCCCATGTTAAAATGTCCAACTTTACAGCTGCAGTTCCTCCAGTGTCCACTAGAGTCTGTCTCCTGCAGTGAGTCAGTCCCCATAGAGCTCATTTATCAGAAACTGTATATATATATATATATATTTTTTTTTTACAAGTTAAAGTTTGTGTGTTTTTATATTCTTGCTTTGATGTTTTCCTTGCTGTCTGTTGTGTTATACGTATTTCTGCTTTGTGTGGTAAACTGAAATGTGTTTTTTATAAAATGCTTCATTAATAAAGTGGATTTGATTGAAATATATGTATTTTTTATATAGTTTTAGTATAATATAAATCGGTTTAATAAAGAATCTAATACCAAGAGTCCTGGTGTACAGGGGATCATGGTTCAAAATCTTCTCAAGTGTACGTCTGGTTAAATATGTTTAAGTCCATGAGAACCACTGCTTTACATTTTTAGTACTCTCTTTTCAACACTAGAGGGAGCCACAGGACATTTAGCGAATGGTCAGAACATGATCTCACTCAGTGCCGGTCGAATAACAAACAAAAAGAAACCTTCAGTTTGAAAGGAACACGAGGGAAATGAGTTCTGGAAATGCTTTTTAAGTATTTTCTTTAAGCAAATATCTTATAGTGAGAGGTGATATATTTAAAAGTTTTGGGACATCAAGTCCAAATGGGAGGAGACCACGAGGTAGACCCAGAGCTCAACGGAGGGATTATATATCCTGTCTGGACTGGGAAGACCTCGGAATCCCCCATGAGGAGGAGCTGGAGAGTATGATAAGAGTAAAATGGATGGACGGATGGATTATTGATGGATAGATAATTGATGGATGGATGGTTAGTTGATGAATGTGTAGTGTACCCCCACACAATTTAGAAGAAATAATAATAATCAGAGCCTGTCAGAGACAAGAACGAGCCCCTGCAGCAGACTGAAACCAGAACCGGTGTTTTTTTCTGGCTTTGGCTGAGACCATTTTGCAGAGAATTACTGTATGTCAAAATAAGAGCCCCAGGTCACAGAACGGGACGTCCCCTTGAAGTGAAGAACGAGCATCAAGAATAAAGGCACAGCACTGCATTTCTCTAGAACATTGGTTTATTCAGAAACAGCGGCTGTAAAGACAACCACAGTTTCAAGAACATAACATGCATAAATACAACAAAACATGTTTAAATACATTCAGGGGAAAAACAGTTTTCAACCTGCTGTTTATGAAAGGTGTAGGCTACACATATTCAAGTCATCATGTCTAATTAAGATAAGTGCAAAAACAGTAGACAGTAAAGATAACGTATTGCCCTGCTCAAACACACGGCACAGTCGATATGAAGGAAGTAGAGCTAACCACAGCAGATTCATCTTCCATATAAATTAAAATCATCCATCAGTCACACAAAATACTAAAATAAAACTCTTCATAACATGAATCATAAGCGGACACTAAATCACTGTCACGTCGATCAGTCTTAACTCCTCCCCCTTTGCAAAATAAAAACAAACCTTTAATAAGTTGTCACTCATTTAGGACAAAGTGAGCAGTATCAGGTTGTAAACTAAAGTGGGAGTCAAAATCGGATATGACAAGTCTAGAATGAGGCCACGCCCCCTCATATCGCTGAGGATAAGCTGATAAATCTTCAGTATAAGACCTGAGGATCTGACACGTTGACTAATGAAACACATTCAACTGTTAAACTGTTGGAACATTTGGAAAATACGTTTCTTTTAATCCACTGATTGAACTTTTTGTTGAGCGTGGAATGTAAACAAGCTAACACAGATAAACTGTAACTAAACATCACGTTTGTTAAACGGCTGAGCTTATAATTCAATATTAGTGTTTCAGTGCAACAACTGGAAAAGACCCAGAATAAATCACGCTATTAAACAGCTGCCGTTTGGTTTTATGGTCACTTGAGAGTTTTCCAACAACGTTCATTTTATTTTTAACAGAAATTTCCAAAGCTTATGGAGACATCATTTAGGAACACAACATATGGCACATAGCTCCTCTGTTGAAGAAGATGAATCTGAGCAGACCAGAAAATAAAGATTTGGATAAATAACATAAAAAATGAAATCCATTCTGGGTCCTTTTGAGGTCGGGTGAAGTCGTCGTCGTCTCTTGTTGAGGATCGATTGACGAGGTGTAAACTGTGAAGTTCTTTCTCCTACGCTAAATAAATAAAGGTTCTCCTGAGACACAGAGAGATAATCCTGCAGCCGATAAGATCCTCAGAATCTTGGAAAGGATTTAGAGGTCTGCAGCGGTCCCTCTTTTTTTAAAGTCTAAAAAAAAAAAAAAAAAGTGTTGCAGATGGAAAATCTGTTCCTTCAAAGTCGTCTTTATCCGGACTCTGCTGGGGTTCGACTCGGCCGACTGAAGGATCTCCAGGAGAGCTGTTAAGAAGAACGAAGCAGAAATAATAAGTTTGCTGCTTCAAAAAAAAAAAAAAAAGTAACTTAACCATGTTTTTTTAATCTTAAAAAAAACTCCTTTGTGCTACCTCTGGAGACTTTGAGAATAAAGGCTTGTGGGTCCTTTAGGTAGTACGGGAGGCAGGTTGTATCTGTACTGTAACAACAGACCTCCCATATTAGTTCTGTCTGCACTTGCTTTATTAACGTTTGGTCAAAATGTAAATTCTCCCGCAGTCCTCCTGAAACCATCGAGATATTTTCAGGAGTGAAAACGTCTTTCTTTGCTTTTGTCTTTGGACCAGTGTTAGTGTTTCTCTAACAACACGATAACTTTAGGGTCTACATCGTGCTCCTGGTCTTAACGACCCTCTGATGACTTCACTCACAGTAAACTGCTGTTTCACATAAAGCTAGAAACGATGCATTTTGTCCTTTTTTCAGAGACGACCTTCCTCCATTACTTTACAACAGCAGACTAAAATGTGAAACCCCCCTCTCCACATCTGTGTTTGTTGTGTTATTTTTAGTGCTTTCAGATCCTTTTCAAGCAGGATTTTAACTCCTGAAACTTCTACAGCTGAACACACACGCAGTCAAACATCCAGTATTTTCATACTGCTGCGCCTCTAATGCAAATTTCAGAAAATGGAAATAAAAAAGCTCCATCATTTCCAATTCAAACTACGGCCTGACATCTGACATGCAGAGCAGGAACACATTCAGCAGCAGACTTACCCTTTGTTCTGATGGAGGTCTGTTACCATCATATGGAGCTCTCCTGATGATCCTGTTGGGTTGAATCTCTGAACGGACGAGGGCGACCCAAGAGAAGCTCTCGACTGTGCCTGCGTGTTTGAGCTGCGCAGCTATACTGAAAGTGCTTTTCTTTGAAGAAGAGCATCAACGCTTTTTTTCTCTGTCTGTTTTACATTTTGTTCTCCACGCTTTAGTTTGAGTAAAGTTAAGACTACACCTCCCAGGATTGCTATGAAGCAGACAGTCACAACAGAGATCCAGAGGAAGTGACGGTGCCGGTCACCTGATGTGGGAAAAAAAAAAGCAAACAGAGAGAAATGTTAGAGAGACTTGTATCTAGAGCCTCGTTTTACCTAAAACTCAGACTACTCAGAACATTCTTGTCTCAGAGAATTGAAGCATTTTCTCACTTTGGACATTGATCTGATCGATTGGTTCTGGAGTGGTGAGGACCGGCGATGACTCTGTTGTCCTTCCAAAGTTTGGTTCTGGAAAAAATGAAAGATTGTTAAGATCGAGGAAAACCAATCCAAGTCCAAACAGGAAAGTAATGACCAACTAGAAGGATTTCTTAGCGGGCTTCCACTTTGTCATTTTTCTGACATGGTTAAATCAGCATTAAGTAAAAATGGCCGCCCCTAGTCAATAACCACGCCTTAGTCTACAAACATCAAAGCAAACTCACCGAGAACTTTGAGCGTAACAAACGCCTCTCTCCCTCGCCTCTCTCGAACAACAAACAAAAAGAAACCTTCAGTTTGAAAGGAACACGAGGGAAATGAGTTCTGGAAATGCTTTTTAAGTATTTTCTTTAAGCAAATATCTTATAGTGAGAGGTGATATATTTAAAAGTTTTGGGACATCAAGTCCAAATGGGAGGAGACCACGAGGTAGACCCAGAGCTCAACGGAGGGATTATATATCCTGTCTGGACTGGGAAGACCTCGGGATCCCCCATGAGGAGGAGCTGGAGAACAATGCTGGGGCAACATGATAAGAGTAAAATGGATGGACGGATGGATTATTGATGGATAGATAATTGATGGATGGATGGTTAGTTGATGAATGTGTAGTGTACCCCCACACAATTTAGAAGAAATAATAATAATCAGAGCCTGTCAGAGACAAGAACGAGCCCCTGCAGCAGACGGAAACCAGAACCGGTGTTTTTTTCTGGCTTTGGCTGAGACCATTTTGCAGAGAATTACTGTATGTCAAAATAAGAGCCCCAGGTCACAGAACGGGACGTCCCCTTGAAGTGAAGAACGAGCATCAAGAATAAAGGCACAGCACTGCATTTCTCTAGAACATTGGTTTATTCAGAAACAGCGGCTGTAAAGACAACCACAGCTTCAAGAACATAACATGCATAAATACAACAAAACATGTTTAAATACATTCAGGGGAAAAACAGTTTTCAACCTGCTGTCTATGAAAGGTGTAGGCTACACATATTCAAGTCATCATGTCTAATTAAGATAAGTGCAAAAACAGTAGACAGTAAAGATAACGTATTGCCCTGCTCAAACACACGGCACAGTCGATATGAAGGAAGTAGAGCTAACCACAGCAGATTCATCTTCCATATAAATTAAAATCATCCATCAGTCACACAAAATACTAAAATAAAACTCTTCATAACATGAATCATAAGCGGACACTAAATCACTGTCACGTCGATCAGTCTTAACTCCTCCCCCTTTGCAAAATAAAAACAAACCTTTAATAAGTTGTCACTCATTTAGGACAAAGTGAGCAGCATCAGGTTGTAAACTAAAGTGGGAGTCAAAATCGGATATGACAAGTCTAGAATGAGGCCACGCCCCCTCATATCGCTGAGGATAAGCTGATAAATCTTCAGTATAAGACCTGAGGATCTGACACGTTGACTAATGAAACACATTCAACTGTTAAACTGTTGGAACATTTGGAAAATACGTTTCTTTTAATCCACTGATTGAACTTTTTGTTGAGCGTGGAATGTAAACAAGCTAACACAGATAAACTGTAACTAAACATCATGTTTGTTTAACGGCTGAGCTTATAATTCAATATCAGTGTTTCAGTGCAACAACTGGAAAAGACCCAGAATAAATCACGCTATTAAACAGCTGCCGTTTGGTTTTATGGTCACTTGAGAGTTTTCCAACAATGTTCATTTTATTTTTAACAGAAATTTCCAAAGCTTATGGAGACATCATTTAGGAACACAACATATGGCACATAGCTCCTCTGTTGAAGAAGATGAATCTGAGCAGACCAGAAAATAAAGATTTGGATAAATAACATAAAAAATGAAATCCATTCTGGGTCCTTTTGAGGTCGGGTGAAGTCGTCGTCGTCTCTTGTTGAGGAACGATTGACGAGGTGTAAACTGTGAAGTTCTTTCTCCTACGCTAAATAAATAAAGGTTCTCCTGAGACACAGAGAGATAATCCTGCAGCCGATAACATCCTCAGAATCTTGGAAAGGATTTTGAGGTCTGGAGCGGTCTCTCTTTTTTTGAAGTCTAAAAAAAAAAAAAAATGTGTTCAGATGGAAAATCTGTTCCTTCAAAGTCGTCTTTATCCGGACTCTGCTGGGGTTCGACTCGGCCGACTGAAGGATCTCCAGGAGAGCTGTTAAGAAGAACGAAGCAGAAATAATAAGTTTGCTGCTTCAAAAAAAAAAGAAAAAGTAACTTAAGCATGTTTTTTTAATCTTAAAAAAACTCCTTTGTGCTACCTCTGGAGACTTTGAGAATAAAGACTTGTGGGTCCTTTAGGTAGTACGGGAGGCAGGTTGTATCTGTACTGGAACAACAGACCTCCCATATTAGTTCTGTCTGCACTTGCTTTATTAACGTTTGGTCAAAATGTAAATTCTCCCGCAGTCCTCCTGAAACCATCGAGATATTTTCAGGAGTGAAAACGTCTTTCTTTGCTTTTGTCTTTGGACCAGCGTTAGTGTTTCTCTAACAACACGATAACTTTAGGGTCTACATCGTGCTCCTGGTCTTAACGACCCTCTGATAACTTCACTCACAGTAAACTGCTGTTTCACATAAAGCGAGAAACGATGCATCTTGTCCTTTTTTCAGAGACGACCTTCCTCCATTACTTTACAACAGCAGACTAAAATGTGAAACCCCCCTCTCCACACCTGTGTTTGTTGTGTTATTTTTAGTGCTTTCAGATCCTTTTCAAGCAGGATTTTAACTCCTGAAACTTCTACAGCTGAACACACACGCAGTCAAACATCCAGTATTTTCATACTGCTGCGCCTCTAATGCAAATTTCAGAAAATGGAAATAAAAAAGCTCCATCATTTCCAATTCAAACTACGGCCTGACATCTGACATGCAGAGCAGGAACACATTCAGCAGCAGACTTACCCTTTGTTCTGATGGAGGTCTGTTACCATCATATGGAGCTCTCCTGATGATCCTGTTGGGTTGAATCTCTGAACGGACGAGGGCGACCCAAGAGAAGCTCTCGACTGTGCCTGCGTGTTTGAGCTGCGCAGCTATACTGAAAGTGCTTTTCTTTGAAGAAGAGCATCAACGCTTTTTTTCTCTGTCTGTTTTACATTTTGTTCTCCACGCTTTAGTTTGAGTAAAGTTAAGACTACACCTCCCAGGATTGCTATGAAGCAGACAGTCACAACAGAAATCCAGAGGAAGTGACGGTGCCGGTCACCTGATGTGGGAAACAAAAAAAGCAAACAGAGAGAAACGTTAGAGAGACTTGTATCTAGAGCCTCGTTTTACCTAAAACTCAGACTACTCAGAACATTCTTGTCTCAGAGAATTGAAGCATTTTCTCACTTTGGACATTGATCTGATCGATTGGTTCTGGAGTCGTCAGGTCCAGCGATGACTCTGTTGTCCTTCCAAAGTTTGGTTCTGGAAAAAATGAAAGATTGTTAAGATCGAGGAAAACCAATCCAAGTCCAAACAGGAAAGTAATGACCAACTAGAAGGATTTCTTAGCGGGCTTCCACTTTGTCATTTTTCTGACATGGTTAAATCAGCATTAAGTAAAAATGGCCGCCCCTAGTCAATAACCACGCCTTAGTCTACAAACATCAAAGCAAACTCACCGAGAACTTTGAGCGTAACAAACGCTTCTCTCCCCTCTCCACACTCTGCTGCTCAGTTTGGGGATGAAACATCGGTAAGTCCCCTGATCGTCCACCGTCACATTCTTTATCTTCAGTGAAACGTTCCCGTGTCGCAGCGAGTCCTTCAACAGGTCGGTCCTGTTGATGTACGCCCGGATCTTGCCGTCCTCGTTGTCCTTCTGGTTCCTGTACAGGTGGACATAGTCCTCCTCCTCCCCCTCCACCTCCCACGGCCGATCCAAGGTGCCCGACCTGGACCACTCTATGGTCAGCGCCCGGACGTTATATTCAGGTTTCACATGACACCGCAGGATGACATCGTCACCAGGGGAAGCCGTGATTGGCTGAGAAGAAGAGCTCACACGGTACTGACCTGGAAATAAATCAGAGGGAAATGTTAACCTTCTGACAAAGAGATGACGTCCAAACGGTACAGCAGGTGGCATTAAGCACATGGTAGGTCTTTAAATCTAATAGGAGCTCCGATTTAAAGAATCATTTTTAATATTTAGCCCCCAGTGATTGGATAACTGCATCACACAGGTCAGGAAAGACAATATTGTCAAATTTTTTGTTCCTCTCAAACCCTTCACTCGACTACTTTCATCGCGTTTAAAGTCAAATTTATGTTGTTTTTAACCATTTTTATTGAACTCTATTTGGACCTTAGGGCAGTTCAGCTTGTTTCCCCCCAAAGCCACATTTAAAAGGTGTTGGAGAGGCTCCATCAACGGGTCCAATGGTTTTGGAAAGGAGGCGACCTCTGATATCAAAACCAGTCTGACACTAACTTCAGAGTTGGCAATGTAATAAAAGACAAACATGATGACCAACTGGTTCAGTATCAGTTGGTGCAGCCTACAGTCTGCATAGCGTGATAACAGAAGGCGGTTTCTTGTTATTATTCAACTTTTGGGACACGTCCAACAAAGAAAACAACTTCCTGATAGGAAAGACCATTAAACAATCAGCCAGCTGACTTCCAGTTAGCATGACAGCATTGAGCGTTCATTTCCTCGGCTTCATTCAAGGATGAAACTGATGGAAAACTTTTAATGGAAAACTTTTAATGGAACCATTGGCTGCGCCGCCGCCGCCGGGGGGCAGAAGAGATGATTTCACTCTGAGTCATCATTGAATCACCCTCTGGAGTATTCACTTCAATGGAAAAGTATGAATCACCAGCTCCATGTGTCATCAGAACCACGAGGTCACTTTAACACAGGCACGGGAGCTTAATGTTTAAACATTTATATCTGAGTTTAAGAGCTGCAAATCTAATTTAATGATTAAAACTGTATTTATTGAGAAGAATCAGAGGAGGGATTGTTGTTAGGGTCTGCTTGTTACCACGAGGTGACGCTATAACCAACATTTCTCTTCCTCTTTTGTCCAGTAAAGTGTGTTCACTTTACCTACTCGACTTGTTCGTTTTAATCACATTTGCTTGTTTAGGCAGTAAAAACTTCGGTACAGGACACTACAACACAGTTAACACTTAATTTAAAGTGTTTTAAGTTTAAATTCTGACACTACAATGTAGATGAATGAAAGCTAACAGGTGTTACGGTTAAAAGAGAGACCGTGTAACTTGGTGACTCTCAGCCGAATAACGTCTCTGGTTGGCGTGGTTACAAAAAACTGTTGAAAACTAATCTAATTATTTTAGTTTTATATAAAAAACATATCTAATGAGTACTACATTTCGACATTATAACAAAGAGTTAAACAAAGAGGCGTCCGCGCGGGACTACTTTCATCTTTTCTTAAATTCTATCGGCTCTTGTAACCATGACAACCACAACACTTTACACCGGTACGGAGACAGAGAGGAGCTTACCTTCGACAAGCGTCCACAGTAACAGACTGAAAGGAGCAGTCAGAGTCCAGAGAGGGAAGGTCAGACCGGAGCCTCCGAAGAAAATCATAAAAGTACCCGGTTAAAACACAGATACCGTCGGTTACCGTCGTTACAGTGCTGTCGGAGCTCTCCGCTGCTGGGCGAGTGTGTGACATGTTTCTGTCTACAGGTTCTACTTGAGTGTTCACAAACTGGGCGGGGCATTGTGACGTCAACACGTTCCATGACGTACAAGGCGCAGTGCATTGTTTTGTTTTGGAAAGTAAATTGAGATAGTTCTGGTCGTTTCTATATTTCCGGACCGTGGTGACAGTAGAAACGTAAACATTTCCGGTAAAACGTACAGTTGTAGTTTATTTAATCCATCAGATAGATTAAATCATAAACGCAATCATTTATTCGCTTCCCTCTACTTAGGCCTACTCATTGATTTAAACATAGATTAAAAAACAATATTCAAATACAAATGGTTTTATTGTAATGACTTTTTTTTTCTTTCAATGACTCTTTTTATTATTCATCTATTAATACATTTTCCACATACATAGGCTTTCTACGGTGGCCCTGAAGGTCTACAAAAACATTTCACAAAATACAAAAACATGAAACAAAATTCTAAAATAAGTCAAAAAACACATTTAATAGACACAAAAACATTTTTATTTTTTTTGCGTTCCAAGAAAAGTTATATTGGGATTAATTAAAAGTGTTTACGTTTTGTAAAATGTTTTTGTAACGCACCTTCAGGGCCACCGTAGTTTTCAAACTTATGTCACTGAACTTTAAACCAAAAACAAATATTCTCCATGTCATCCTTTATCACCTGTATTAGTGTATTGTGTAAGCGATGAGATGGTATATTTTTTTTGTCAGCAAATTCAGAATGAACTAGAAAAAAAACAAGGAATCAAATCATGATGACCATTAATTTATTGTCTTGTAGTGATGCAGCTGTCCTTTCTATCTACTGCATGTTTTTATAAAGAATTGTTTCTTTGGCTTTTTATGCTCTTACTTTAGAGACAGGACAGTGAACAGACTCAGAAACCGCGGAGAGACACATTTCTTTTCTTTTTTAAGATTTATTTTTGGGCTTTTTGTGCATTTAATGGATAGATAGGACAGTGGATAGAGTCGTAAATCAGGGAGAGAGAGAGAGTGGGGAATGACATGTGGGAAAGAGGCCACAGGTGGGAAGCAAACCCGGGCCGCCTGCTTGAAATGGGGGTTAAGCCTCCACACATGCACATGCAGCACGGGCACCGACCACCGGCGCCCCCCTGCATGTTTTAATTTGCCAAACTTGAAGCAACATTTCACCCTGAAACTCCGGGGAGAGCACAGGAAACCCCGCACATGCAGTCTGAGAGGAAACATGTAAACCCCAACGACCTTTACTCTCATATTTAACAAGACCAGATCAAGGTCAAACATCGACCCATTCAGCCCGACATGCTCTGAAAACTGTTCACAAAGAGAATCAACAAACAGTGAGGTCAGGTGAAGAACACATTTTACACATGTGGTAGAAAAAAAGATCCCACTCATGTTTCATTAAAGAGGAGAACAAAAGCTGTGATTTCAGATGTCCACTTTGAAACATTTCCAACCAAACACACACGCTCATGTCAGAGTCAACGTGCCAAAGATTCTGCCTTTGGAGTTGTGCAAATCAAAAACATATAGAAACATCTGCGTGGCAGTTTGTTCGTCGCTCTGATGCAGGTTTAAGAGTTTTTAAAGTAAAGTTCAGGAAATGCTAAAATCAGACCTCTAAGCCGTGGCTTCACTACAGCATGACATAAACAGTGTTGAGACACATCAAAGCAGGAAGTGGTGGCCTTTATAAGGAGCTCACGCCTAAAGTAGGGTGTGATCTAAACAGTCCCCCCCCTGAGAGCCCGAGAGTCAGTCAGTGTTCACAGCACCATGGAGATAACGACTCTGTGCGCTGTCGTAGGTGAGTCCTGTTTCTCTGTGTTCATATGCAAACTTTTGTTGTTCCTTAATATTTGTGTCTTCTCGGATCAATAACATGAGACGCTGACGATCCGTACAGTTTACAGCGTCGCATCGTCGTTACATGTTGGACTCTTTTCATGATACTTGTGTTTGCTAATTTTCAAAGTTTGAGTTGACTGAATTTACAGTGAGGAGACAAATTTGTTTTCATTCAGAACACAAAAATGTTCTTACTCCGACCAACTTGTGTTTTTAAGTTTGTTCAATGTGAGACTCGAACCAGGGACCCTCTGAGTGTGAGGCGCCGCTGTAACCGGCTCTGTACGGATAACTGTGTTACACTGTAAATCCTTTGACCTGTTTCATGAATTCAACTTGAATCATTTTTTGCATTGGAAAAACAGCAGAGACACATTAACACAAAATAGACCATAGACTGTCTGCACGCCACCTCTACCATCTCCGTGCTCTAATCAACCTGCTGCTGCATGTTTCCTGTTCTCCACGATGTTCTTCTCCTCTCTTTACTTCACTTTGAGATTCTACTACACGTAGCATTGATACACACACACATATTCTCATTACAGCGTCTTATAGATTCCAGATTTGTATTTGTCACATGCTCATACAGATGTGCAGTGAAAAGTAAAGACTGTTCCGCAAGGCAGTGCAATAAACACTCAAATTACTTACACACATAATACAGTAATATAGAAATATAATGTAAAATATAGAATAATGTAAACAGTGTAAAGTCTAGAGTATAGAGGACTCTGCTGCTACGTCCGCTACTTCCGCTTAGTTTTTTTTGACCTCACTCCCCCCCGTCTGTCAGGGATAGTCTCCCTCTGTGAGGTGCATGTGTGAACAAACCAAATCAGGAGGATTTCAGGGGCAGTCTCCTGAAGTGATTTAGATGTTTTCAGAAGTGGAAACGGCTCCAGACACAAAGTATCTGTATCACACGCTGGTTGCAAGCAGCGAAAACAACAACACCCCCCCCCCCACACACACACTTCCCTCCAAACACTTCACAGGGTTATCACCACATTAACACTAACTTCTGGTTAAACTGAGCTTTTAGTTACCTTGACTACCTTTATGTAACAGTGAGTCTCTGCAGAGAGAATGTATGAGAAGAATCTTTTTCCTCGGCCTGTCACCTTTATCACATTATCACACGGGCTTCTATCGTGGGCGACTCAAGGCTTTCAGTGTATGTAGGGTGAATGCTTTGGTGCCCTGCAGCTGCAGATGCTATCAGCTGTGGTTCTTAATGACTGAACTGTAGATGAGAAGAGAGAAAGTCTTACCATCCACTTCTTAAAAATCAACATGTTCAGCTCAGAGGTTTATGCATTTTTGTGTTTTATTAACATTTTTTAGAAGCTGCAGGATTGAAGCATCTTGAATAATCTCATCCGCAGTGAATCGAGGAGCTGAAACTAAATGTCTCATAGGTGACCAGACTGCCGGATGTCTGCACATCGGCTTGTTGACGTGCATGCAGAGAATCGATACATTTAGATTTTAAGAGACATTTTACAACAAAGAAATCCAGTGACTCGACATATAGAGCAGGTGTGGATCAGACCTCCAGCAAAACCTGACGTCCGTGTTGTTTGGCTTGAAAGAGAGAGAACCGAACAGTTGTGTAAATATGACAGAGGAAAATAATTAAGATAATTAAGAGTGACGCAGGTTGAAGACTACAGTCTGTGACGGGAGCGTGCCTATGTTCCCACATTTCTAAGATCTTTCATTTTTAGAAAAAATTCTAAAAATGTTTTCTTTCATTTTTCAGGTACGCTGTGCTGTGCCTAAAGTTAAGAAATGTTGTTCAAAACCCTTTTTTGTAATTAGCCTTTGCCAATTTTAATATTTA